AATTATGACCTTTTGAAAACAGCGTGTACAGATTGAATGTGACATTTTGCTGCGCCTGCAGAATATAAGTGTCCTCTTGCTCTGGCAGAAGCCCAGTAAACCTAATAATGAAAACAACTATGTCCTAACTAGTGCTCTAACTCAATTGGAAGGCTGCATTGCAGGATTCTTCCTGCTGACGTAAAGAATAAAATATTACTTGCAGAAAGTCAGACTGAATATTTATCTGCTGTTACATCCAGCTGTTACAGAATATTGCCTTAGTGGAACAGTATTCTTTTATTAATGATCGACTGGTTAACTAGCAAAGTTTATTTTGGTTTCTTATGATTATTCATTTATATTTAAAATTATCCTTTTTCATTCTGACTTACTCTGCACGCAAATTTAAAGAGCAAGTCACCCCCATATCAACTTTTTTTGCTAATGAACTACATAAATGAGTGTCGAATCGCGCTGTAGACACGTGCAGTCAACAATTTTGCACTTCAGTAAATCTCAGTTCAAATATAAATATTCTGCCTAAAACTGTCCGTGTTGCGCCGTCGTCAGGTAAAAACTCTGCACTACATTTGAATTTTAATCTGCCCGCTAGTGGCTAAGAGGTACACAATGACAGTAGCTGGTACATTATGATGTCACAATGCCGTTGTGAGCCTGTTTGTGTGTATTTGTTAGCAGCTCCACCCTCTCGGTTTGCCAGGCAACAACATTTGTTGCACTTGGCAAACATGAAGTGGGAGTGGAGTAAGTTTCTTATAGGGGGTGACTTGCTCTTTAAAAATTTAAACCTTTAAATCCAGTCCTTCCACTATACACACATGATGCATTACATGACAATCTTTACATGAAAACTCAAGGTAAAGCATTAGAACATTATAAACCCCAAGGAGTATTTTTTCCTCAAAATAAACTCTTTTTGTTCTATGAAAATACGCCCCATAAAAAATCCATAATTTCCAAATTACTCATTTCCAGCTGCTCTGAGAGCGGTACTCCAGTGGTAATCAGTGCATGCAGGAATGGTCCTACGTAATCTGCTGCTGACAGCTGATGTTCTGCACATGTTGCATTATTATTCTTCTCTCAAACAAACTGGCAACCAGCATCAGAGCTGCCTGACCAATTTTTATTTATTTCATTATTTTCTGCACACTGCTAAGAAGAATCAAAAGGACTTTTTGCATCTGGTGACCAGTTTGTTTGCTAAAGGAAGCCACAAACCATTATAATGGTTAATAAAAAGAAAAACAAACTAAGAACAGAGGCTTGGGCTAAGATCAGTGACAGCTGCATGAAGTAGATATTTAAATGATTTGATGGTTTTAGAGGACTTTTAGCATTATGAGTTTTATGTCTCAATCTTTTCCAAAGAACAAATTAGACTCCCTGAAATATGCAGTTGTTAATTCAATAACGAATTATAGAATAGCAAAAGACATCTGCTCACCTGTCAAACTAACTTCACTGTACACACGGTTGACCGTTTTCACCCACAGAGGTCTATTGCCTGCAACAATTTAAGGGGCATTCTTTCATCAAATAATCTGTTTCTAATAATGAACAAAAACAAAAGATTTGTGTCATTTCATTATGAGTGAGGGGTTCAAGATTTGGACGAGATAGATGCATGTGATGTCTGAGCGTTTTACCAAAATGGTGAAACCTGTGAGGAATTTTTGAGAATGAAAATTTGTTTAGGGTTTAAATTATGGTTACACTTTAATTTTAAGTGCCATAAAATGAGATTTTATATATGTGTATGTATATATATATATATATATATATATATATATATATATATATATATATATATATATATAATCAGTGCATGAAAGCCCAGCTAAATGATAATGTGAATATTTCGGTTTCACATGAACCTGTACTTCCATCTAGTGGTCAAACTTTTGTATTAATGCAACAAAATGTAACAAAAGACAAAATAAGCATGAGGTTATTTGTTTACTTTATTCATTTGTATGCAGGATCCTCTCGAGGTTTCTCCCTGTTAAATGGGAGTTTTCCTCTCCCCTCTCGCTACATGCTTAGTATGAGGATTGCTGTAAAGTCTCAAGTCAGTGACTCGATGGAATCTGTTGGGTTTTCTTACATAGGAGACCTTTAATTAAAAACTATTGAAATGAGAGTCACATTAGATGAAAGAAGACAGAAAAGCCTAGGTTTAGATTAATAAATCTACTGTGCTGCAGAATGTGGGAGTAACATATATTCCTTTGAGGTTGTTCACCTTGAATATAATGTGTTTCACAACTGTCAACGCAACAATTCTTTGAGCACATTTACAAACGATGGCTCAAAATGGAATTATTTTCCGATTAGGTGCTTTTTTGGAAATTATTTTGCTAACAACGTTGCCATGGTTACTCAGAACAAAAGAAAAGTAATGAGGAGCCAAAGACATGCCCATGTACTTCTGGTGCACGGGTCCTTTACTGCCAAAGAAAAGTGACTTTGGTCATTGAAAGTCTGATCTCATTTG